GGGTGTGTAAAGTCTATGTGTTTTGTTCTAGGTTTCACATTCTAGTATTGTTGTTCTATGTTGGCCAGTGTGGTTCTCAATCAGAGGCAACGTGATTCAGCTGTTGCTTGTTGTCTCTGATTGAGAACCATACTTTAGCAGCCTGTTTCCCCACAGAGTTTGTGGGATCTTGTTTCTAGTCTGTTTGTGTTAGACCGTGAACTGTCACGTTATCGTTTTGTTGTTTTTGATCGTGTCTCTAATAAAGAGTATGTTTGCCTGCAACGCTGCGCCTTGGTCCTCCTCTGTATACGACGATCGTGACACATAACATGTTTTGTACAACTACTAATAGGCCTACAACTAATATGAACTACTGCTACAACTACTAATACAACTAATAAAACAAAGTACCTATAATATATTCATGCATATTTACAAATATCTTCAATATTGATGTTTCTGTTAGTTAAAAACACAAAGAGTTTGATCTTAAAATTTGAAAAAATGCTATCTTAATATGTTGCCATGCATAACCTTTAATATATATATATATATATATACATACAGTGGGGAGAACAAGTATTTGATACACTGCCGATTTTGCAGGTTGTCCTACTTATAAGCATGTAGAGGTCTGTAATTTTTATCATATGTACACTTCAACTGTGAGAGACGGAATCTATTTTTTTTTCTCCAGAAAATCACATTGTATGATTTTTATGTAATTAATTTGCATTTTATTGCATGACATAAGTATTTGATACATCAGAAAAGCAACACTTAATGTTTGGTACAGAAACCTTTGTTTGCAATTACAGAGATCATACGTTTCCTGTAGGTCTTGACCAGGTTTGCACACACTGCAGCAGGGATTTTGGCCCACTCCTCCATACAGATCTTCTCCAGATCCTTCAGGTTTCGGGACTGTCGCTGGGCAATACGGACTTTCAGCTCCCTCCAAAGATTTTCTATTGGTTTCAGGTCTGGAGACTGGCTAGGCCACTCCAGGACCTTGAGATGCTTCTTACGGAGCCACTCCTTAGTTGCCCTGGCTGTGTGTTTCGGGTCGTTGTCATGCTGGAAGACCCAGCCACGACCCATCTTCAATGCTCTTACTGAGGGAAGGAGGTTGTTGGCCAAGATCTCGCGATACATGGCCCCATCCATCCTCCCCTCAATATGGTGCAGTCGTCCTGTCCCCTTTGCAGAAAAGCATCCCCAAAGAATGATGTTTCCACATCCATGCTTCACAGTTGGGATGGTGTTCTTGGGGTTGTACTCATCCTTCTTCTTCCTCCAAACACGGCGAGTGGAGTTTAGACCAAAAAGCTCTATTTTTGTCTCATCAGACCACATGACCTTCCCCCATTCCTCCTCTGGATCATCCAGATGGTCATTGGCAAACTTCAGACGGGCCTGGACATGCGCTGGCTTGAGCAGGGGGACCCTGCGTGCGCTGCAGGATTTTTATCCATGACGGCGTAGTGTGTTACTAATGGTTTTCTTTGAGACTGTGGTCCCAGCTCTCTTCAGGTCATTGACCAGGTCCTGCCGTGTAGTTCTGGGCTGATCCCTCACCTTCCTCATGATCATTGATGCCCCACGAGGTGAGATCTTGCATGGAGCCCCAGACCGAGTGTGATTGACCGTCATCTTGAACTTCTTCCATTTTCTAATAATTGTGCCAACAGTTGCTGCCTTCTCACCAAGCTGCTTGCCTATTGTCCTGTAGCCCATCCCAGCCTTGTGCAGGTCTACAATTTTATCCCTGATGTCCTTACACAGCTCTCTGGTCTTGGCCATTGTGGAGAGGTTGGAGTCTGTTTGATTGAGTGTGTGGACAGGTGTCTTTTATACAGGTAACGAGTTCAAAAAGGTGCAGTTAATACAGGTAATGAGTGGAGAACAGGAGGGCTTCTTAAAGAAAAACTAACAGGTCTGTGAGAGCCGGAATTCTTACTGGTTGGTAGGTGATCAAATACTTATGTCATGCAATAAAATGCAAATTAATTATTTAAAAATCATACAATGTGATTTTCGTCTCTCACAGTTGAAGTGCACCTATGATAAAAATTACAGACCTCTACATGCTTTGTAAGTAGGAAAACCTGCAAAATCGGCAGTGTATCAAATACTTGTTCTCCCCACTGTATATTATGGTTGTTAAAAGAGGAATTATGACAATATTACCGTTATATAAACACACTCGTCAGTCCCGTTTAACAACTCTAAATCGCTTTGGCACAGTAGGCATCAAGCCACTTGCCGATAATGTTGCATACAGCGTTTGAAAAGTCTATCATTTTCATCGAACATAATCAAAGTTAACATAAGCCCTAGATGCCTTCATTTGCCCAACTTATAGGCATGCCCAATTTAGGCATCTTTTTTAACAACGTGATGTTGCGCTCCAAAGAGATAACATGATGTACAGTAGGTTAAATACTCGAAAGAAAAACGTGTTTATTTATTAGCCTATGGTATTTAGTATTTAGGCATATCATGTGAAATCATTGTCAAAAGCGCAAGAGATACTGTTGCATGTACGTCTAGATTGATCATATAAAAATATCGAAACGTTATTTTAACAACGCCAAAGCAATTGCATGTGGCACAGGAACCACTGACTCCCTGCATTTTTCTATTATCAAGACACCTGCTGGTAACTCAACTGGTTAGGGCAGCTCATGATGTCTCCTATAGCTCAGCTGGTAGAGCACGGCACTTATAACGCCAAGGTAGTGGGTTCGATCCCCGGGACCACCCATACACAAAAAAAAAATGTATGCACGCGTGACTGTAAGTCGCTTTGGATAAAAGCGTCTGCTAAATGGCATATTATTATTATTATTATATCCTAAATATCTGTCGACTAGGTGGAACTCCTGACAAAAGAGGCTTCGTGCATAGCTTTTATTTTTACCCATCAGAGTAGGAGTAAAACGTCTATTCTCAGCACTTACAACCAATGTTCTACTCTGAGATGCTTTGTGGATACAGGCTCAGTTTAAAATAGGTAAGAAAAACGGTTATCTCTACTCCTGGGAAACAATCAACAACAACATTCCTATTACTAAGGCATCATAAATTAGTAATTTACACTCATTAAAAAGCCTCATGGCTGTGGGTAAAAATGGCCTGAACCTCTCTGTGGAGCTTCTGGCCAGGATGAACCTGCTACTGAAGCTGCATGCTCCTGTGTGTCATTACAGGGCTGTGGAGTGGGTGTGTGGCATTACAGGGCTGTGGAGTAGGTGTGTGGCATTACAGGGCTGTGGAGTGGGTGTTGCATTACAGGGCTGTGGAGTGGGTGTTGCATTACAGGGCTGTGGAGTGGGTGTGTGGCATTACAGGGCTGTGAGTAGGTGTGTGGCATTACAGGACTGTGGAGTGGGTGTTGCATTACAGGGCTGTGGAGTGGGTGTGTGGCATTACAGGGCTGTGTAGTGGGTGTTGCATTACAGGGCTGTGGAGTGGGTGTGTGGCATTACAGGGCTGTGGAGTGGGTGTTGCATTACAGGGCTGTGGAGTGGGTGTGTGGCATTACAGGGCTGTGGAGTAGGTGTGTGGCATTACAGGACTGTGGAGTGGGTGTTGCATTACAGGGCTGTGGAGTGGGTGTGTGGCATTACAGGGCTGTGGAGTAGGTGTGTGGCATTACAGGGCTGTGGAGTGGGTGTTGCATTACAGGGCTGTGGAGTAGGTGTGTGGCATTACAGGACTGTGGAGTGGGTGTGTGGCATTACAGGACTGTGGAGTGGATGTGAGGCCTTACAGGACTGTGGAGTGGGTGTGTGGCATTACAGTGCTGTGGAGTGAGTGTGTGGCAGAGTGCTGTGGAGTGGGTGTGAGGCATCCATGATCATGTGTGTTTTAGCTTGCAGTCTTTTTATGAACCTGCATTGACTCCAGACTGCATCCGATTGTGGTACTTGCTTTCTTTATGATTTTTCACAGCTTGTTTATGTCCTCCTTGGCTAAGTTTCCTTTCCAGCACACAATGGCATAGCTCAACACCAGGGGAGGCTGCTGAGGGGAGGACGTTCGGCCCATAATAATGGCTGGAACGGAGCAAATGGAATGGCATCAAACACATAGAAAACCATGGGTTTGATGTATTTCATACCAGCCACTAATTCCACTCCAGCCATTACCGTGAGCCCGTCCTCCCCAATTAAGGTGCCATCAACCTCCTGTGCTCAACACACTACACTGCTGTAAAACATGCAAAGCATTTTGTCACACACACGATCCTCTGCCACGTTTTAAAAACAGAACAAAAACAATAGCAAATGTGCCTGGGGTGACCAGTGGCGCTGTTTCACCTCATGTGGATCACAGCTTTAAGAGACTAAGCACTGAAATGTCACATTACATCACAAGCTCTCTAAATGCATGACTTGCTCCCGGTAATGGGATGTGAAGTTTTTTGTTTCTCCCAGCACTGACATCAGCAGGAAACCAACCCTGTCAGTTGTTAAAGTACACATCTATACTGTATTAATGGTTGTGTGCACAGGGACTTTAATGAATTATAATCAAAGAGAGAGAGAGAGAGACTCCCGGTGGGATACAGTAGCTAATTCTATAACACTGACTGCACCAACTGGAGAGGGGAAGATTACGCACACTGAAACTAGCACACAGAACGCCGCTGCACCAGCATTTACATATGAAATATACCTAGAGATATCAATACAGACAGACAACAATAGTGGATGCAGAGAGCCCCAGTGACTGAAAAACAGGGCAAAGTCAAGCATTGTGAGAGGGGATAGCAGGACACCACCTGCTGGCTAGAGCTGAGGCTGGGAGGGAGGAGGAGCTGGGTGGGAGTTGGAGCTGGGAGGGAGGAGGTGCTGGGAGGGAGGAGGAGCTGGGAGGGAGGAGGAGCTGGGAGGGAGGAGGTGCTGGGTTGATGGGAGGGGAGGATCTGGGTAGCGAGGAGTGAGCTGGGAGGGAGGAGGAAGCTGTGGAGAGAGGAGGAGACTGGGAGGGTAGGAGGAGTGGCTCGGGAGATGGAGGAGAGAGCTGTGGAGAGTAGGAGGAGCTGGGAGGGAGGAGGAGCTTGGGCGGGTATGGAGGAGCTGGGAGCGAGGAGGAGCTGGGAGAGAGGAGGAGCTGGGAGGGAGGGAGGCTGTGAGGTTGGCACTGCAAGAGGACATGATTGTAGATGACATGAACTAGTGTGCCCTCGCTCTCTCGCTCTCTCTCTCTCTCTCTCTCTCTCTCTCTCTCTCTCTCTCTCTCTCTCTCTGTCCTTCTAGCTCCTCTCCTCTGAACAGAAGCACTCTGTTCTCAGCAATAGCTAGGCTACCTCTAACTGATCTATTCCACTTTCCTCATCCCTCATACTAACGGACTAAACATCTATAACAGGAAATTATCGGTGAACAGAATGTTCTTAGAAACAGAAGACACTGGGTTAATGTGAGAATGCAAGCAGGAAAACCGGAATCCTGGACTTGATCACTGAGATACACACACACACACACACACACACACACACACACACACACACACACACACACACACACACACACACACACACACACACACACACACACACACACACACACACACCGACACACACACACCCACACCCCGACACACTGACACACCGACACACGCACAAACACACACACACACACACACACACACACACACACACACACACACACACACACACACACACACACACACACACACACACACACACACACACACACACACCAGTGTTTCCCCCAAATGCATTTAGTAGCGGTGCTGCTGCAAAATCGTAGCCACCACTGCAAAACAACTCTGCCACCGCTGCTGGAAGAAATCCTAGGGGAAACACTGCACACTCACACACGTAAATGAATAGCCAATCTATGCTGTTGAGTGTCATATTAGTAAGTGACGTTACAGTAACTGTGCCCTGCAGACAGATTGTTTGCCTCTGCTGGGGGTATGACTGAGTCAGTGATTTAGATGGGCGATGTGAAGGAAAGTGCGCGGATGGATCTGTGTGTTTATGCCTTTCTCTCTGGAGTTTACAATCAAAGCTCATTAACCAGCATTAATGATTCTTACATCATCCCCCATCCTCCTGTACACATTAGCCCCTGTACACATTAGCCCCTGTACACATTAGCCCCTGTACACATTAGCCCCTGTACACATTAGCCCCTACAACTCTGTTCCAATAATCAACACAATTCTCCAACATTCAATAACGCAAATCGTTGTCAAGGGTTTGGCTACTTGAATATTTAAACATGATAGTGAGAGATTTGTTTGCTGACACACTTCCCTTATACCTTAAAAAATGACATGAACCAACATAATGACACTTTGATATGGGAATACTCCTTGACATCAATCAATCAAATGTATTTATATAGCCCTTTTTACATCCGCAGATGTCACAAAGTGCTTATAAATTGGTAGAAGGATTACTTTTATACTATTCCAGGTATTCCTTAAAGAGGTAGGGTTTCAAGTGTCTCCGGAAGGTGGTCAGTGACTCCGCTGTCCTGGCGTCGTGGGGGAGCTTGTTCCACCGTTGGGGTGCCAGAGCAGCGAATAGCTTTGACTGGGCTGAGCGGGAACTGTGCTTCCGTAGAGGTAGGGGGGCTAGCAGGCCAGAGGTGGATGAACGTAGTGCCCTCGTTTGGGTGTAGGGTCTGATCAGAGCCTGAAGGTAAGGAGGTGCCGTTCCCCTCACAGCTCCGTAGGCAAGCACCATGGTCTTGTAGTAGATGCAAGCCTCAACTGGAAGCCAGTGGAGTGTGCGGAGGAGCGGGGTGACATGAGAGAACTTGGGAAGGTTGAACACCAGAAGGGCTGCAGCGTTCTGGATAAGTTGTAGGAGTTTAATGGCACAGGCAGGGAGCCCAGCCAACAGCGAGTTGCAGTAATCCAGACAGTAATAGGGTCGTACTCTGCGAATGTTGTAGAGCATGAACCTGCAGGATCGGGTCACCGCTTTGATGTTAGCGGAGAATGACAGGGTGTTGTCCAGGGTCAAGCCAAGGTTCTTTGCACTCTGGGAGGAGGACACAATGGAGTTGTCAACCGTGATGGCGAGATCATGGAGAGGGCAGTCCTTCCCCGGGAGGAAGAGCAGCTCCGTCTTGCCGAGGTTCAGCTTGAGGTGGTGATCCGACATCCATACTGATATGTCTGCCAGACATGCAGAGATGCAATTCGCCACCTGGTTATCAGAAGGGGGAAAGGAGAAAACTAATTGTGTGTCGTCTGCGTAGCAATGATAGGAGAGACCATGTTAGGATATGACAGAGTCAAGTGACTTGGTTTATAGAGAATAGGAGAGGGCCTAGAACTGAGCCCTGGGGGACACCAGTGGTGAGAGCACATGGTGCAGAGACAGGTTCTCGCTACGCCACCTGGTAGGAGCGACCTGTCAGGTAGGACGCAATCCAAGAGTGAGCAGCGCCGGAGATGCCCAACTCGGAGAGGGTGGAGAGGAGGATCTGATGGTTCACAGTATCAAAGGCAGCAGATAGGTCTAGAAGGATAAGAGCAGAGGAGAGAGAGTTAGCTTTAGCAGTGCGGAGAGCCTCCGTGACACAGAGAAGAGCAGTCTCAGTTGAATGACCAGTCTTGAAACCTGACTGGTTTGGATCAAGAAGGTCATTCTGAGAGATAGCAGGAGAGTTGGCTAGAGATGGCACGCTCAAGAGTTTTGGAGAGAAAAGAAAGAAGGGATACTGGTCTGCAGTTGTTGACATCGGAGGGATCGAGTGTAGGTTTTTTGAGGAGGGGTGCAACTCTCGCTCTCTTGAAGATGGAAGGGACATGGCCAGCGGTCAAGGATGAGTTGATGAGCGAGGTGAGGTAAGGGAGAAGGTCTCCGGAAATGGTCTGGAGAAGAGAGGAGGGGATAGGGTCAAGTGGGCAGGTTGTTGGGCGGCCGGCCGTCACAAGTCGCAAGATTTCATCTCGAGAGAGAGGGGAGAAAGAAGTCAAAGCATAGGGTAGGGCAGTGTGAGCAGGACCAGCGATGTCATTTGATTTAATAAATGAGGATCGGATGTCGTCAACCTTCTTTTCAAAATGGTTGACAAAGTCATCCACAGAGAGGGAGGAGGGAGGGGGAGGAGGAGGAGGATTCAGCAGGGAGGAGAAGGTGGCAAAGAGCTTCCTAGGGTTATAGGCAGAGGCTTGAAATTTAGAGTGGTAGAAAGTGGCTTTAGCAGCAGAAACAGAGGAAGAGAATGTAGAGAGGAGGGAGTGAAAAGATGACAGGTCCGCAGGGAGTCTAGTTTTCCTCAATTTCCGCTCGGCTGCCCGGAGCCCTGTTCTGTGAGCTCGCAATGAGTCGTCAAGCCACGGAGCAGGAGGGGAGGACCGAGCCGGCCGGGAGGATAGGGGACATAGAGAGTCAAAAGATGCAGAAAGGGAGGAGAGGAGGGTTGAGGAGGAAGAATCAGGAGATCGGAGGGAGAAGGATTTAGCAGAGGGAAGAGATGATAGGATGGAAGAGGAGAGAATAGCGGGAGAGAGAGAGCTAAGGTTGCGACGGCACATTACCATCTGAGTAGAAAGAGAGAAAAGGATACAAAGTAGTGGTCGGAGACATGGAGGGGAGTTGCAGTGAGATTAGTAGAACAGCATCTAGTAAAGATGAGGTCAAGCATATTGCCTGCCTTGTGAGTAGGGGGGGACGGTGAGAGCCAAGCATTCAGAGGTTGAGACAGCAGGTGCGGTAGAGAGAGAGAAAGAAAGAGAGAGATAAAGAAAGAGAGAGAGAGAGAGAGAGAGAGAGAGAGAGAGAGAGAGAGAGAGAGAGAGAGAGAGAGAGAGAGAGAGAGAGGGAGAGTCGAAAACATAATATGACCAATCTACCCTATTGGTGTTGTTGAGGGGGAAAGATTTACAGATGGTGAAAAACACTGGGAAAGATTGAATAAATGAATGGATGTTTACTGCTGATCCTTCGAACCAATACAATCCTTGGCCCGCCCTCCCTCTCACACTCAGGGATTGGTTCATTGGTGGTAACAGATGCTGAATATGCATGAGGAGAGGGTCTGTTCATGGGTGGAGCCTGAGAGGCTGACTGAGAGAGGATCAGAACTGAGAGAGAAGTGGAGCGAGTAACAGCAGCATTCTATTCTCACACACTGACAAGGATCACATTCTCCCTCATTTTAGAGGGGGGCATTTTTTGCCTGCCCTCCCTCGCCCCCTGGATGGCACAGATTGCATTGACGCACCCCTACCTTGGCTTCATCCTTCAAACCTCTGGGCTGGCTGTCTACCTCCCTCTTACCTTCGAGCTGAACTTCCCACCTCCTCTCTCCCCCTCCGCTGCTGTAAGTGGATCGGCCAGACCTCCAGCAGAGGGACACAGACATGGGCTGTAAACACTCTGGACAGGGCCACAGGGCTGACAATGGGAATGGGGTGAGTACAGTGGACATTTTGTGTGTGTGTGTGTGTGTGTGCAACATGTGCCTTTGTTTTGGGATTTGTGTGCTTATTGACAAAGCAGCCTGTACTGTTGCCATCTTGTCTGCCATGCATGCCTTAACACAGCAAAGTCAGCATACGCTGGCTACGTAATCACCACTGAAGACTCGGGGCAGACAGTGTGTGTGTGTGCGTGTGCATTTATAGTATGACCTCATGTGCGTTCGTTTGGGTGTATGTTCACATAACTGAGGGTCTTTAGCATGCATATAACTCCATGAAGAGAAATGTCTATGAAGGGAGTGATGGTGATTGTGGTGACCTGCTCTGGTCTCATAGGAAGCCATGTAGATGCGTCTAGACAGGTCGACTATTCACCAACACACTCTCTCTCTCTCTCTTTCTCTCTCTCTCTCTCTCCTCTCTCTCTCTCTCTCTCTCTCTCTCTCTCTCTCTCTCTCTCTCTCTCTCTCTCCCCCCCCCTCTCCCCCTCCCTCCCTCCCTCCATCCCTCCCTCCAGTAGGCTCTGGTCACTCAGCCATGGTCCAGATATTGTGCATTATAATGCAGCAAAATAATTGTATATTGTGCATAAAGAGAAGGTTGCTCATTTGTGACCATAGGGTGAATGTGTTCATGGGTGACCTGACAGAATAGGATGTGGAGGGTACTGCAATGTCAATGGAGTAAGTAATGGCTGCTTAACCTGGGGGGTGAAGGTAGAAATTGGGTTAGTACTATTCTGTGTCTGAGGACAGATTCAGAGAGACATCATGACCTGAATCTACACACAATACACACAAATACACACCCATGTGTTTGCATGCAGACACATACACACACACACAGGCAAAGAGTCAATACAGGACTAAGATTGAATCGTACTACACCGGCTCTGACGCTCGTCAGATGTGGCAGGGCTTGAAAACTATTACAGACTACAAAGGGAAGCACAGCCGCGAGCTGCCCAGTGACACAAGACTTCCAGACGAGCTAAACCACTTCTATGCTCGCTTCGAGGCAAGCAACACTGAAGCATGCATGAGAGCACCAGCTGTTCCGGATGACTATGTGATCACGCTCTCCGTAGCCGTTGTGAGTAAGACTTTTAAGCAGGTCAACATTCACAAGGCTGCAGGGCCAGACGGATTACCAGGACGTGTACTCCGAGCATGTGCTGACCAACTGGCAAGTGTTTTCACTGACATTTTCAAAATGTCCCTGACTGAGTCTGTAATACCAACATGTTTCAAGCAGACCACCATAGTCCCCGTGCCCAAGGACACTAAGATAACCTGCCTAAATGACTACAGACCCGTAGCACTGACGTCTGTAGCCATGAAGTGCTTTGAAAGGCTGGTCATGGCTCACATCAACACCATTATCCCAGAAACCCTAGACCCACTCCAATTTGCACACCGCCCCAACAGATCCACAGATGATGCAATCTCTATTGCACTCCACACTGCCCTTTCCCACCTGGACAAGAGGATGACCTACGTGAGAATGCTATTCATTGACTACAGCTCAGCATTCAACACCATAGTGCCCTCAAAGCTCATCACTAAGCTAAGGATCCTGGGACTAAACCCCTCCCTCTGCAACTGGATCCTGGACTTCCTGACGGGCCGCCCCCAGGTGGTAAGGGTAGGTAACAACACATCTGCCACACTGATCCTCAACACAGGGGCCCCTCAGGGGTGCGTGCTCAGTCCCCTCCTGTACTCACTGTTCACCCATGACTGCATGGCCAGGCACGACTCCAACACCATCCTTAAGTTTGCCAACGACACAACAGTGGTAGGCCTGATCACCGACAATGATGAGACAGCCTATAGGGAGGAGGTCAGAGACCTGGCCGTGTGGTGGCAGGATAACAACCTCTCCCTCAACGTGACCAAGACAAAGGAGATGATTGTGGACTACAGGGAAAAAAAGAGTACTGAGCACGCCCCCATTCTCATCGACGGGGCTGTAGTGGAACAGGATGAGAGCTTCAAGTTCCTTGGTGTCCATATCACCAACTAACTATCATGGTCCAAACACACCAAGACAGTCGTGAAGAGGGCACGACAAAGCCTATTCCCCCTCAGGAGACTGAAAAGATTTGGCATGGGTCCTCAGATCCTCAAAGAATTCTACAGCTGCACCATCGAGAGCATCCTGACTGGTTGCATCACTGCCTGGTATGGCAACTGCTTGGCCTCCGACCGCAAGGCACTACAGAGGGTAGTGCGTACGGCCCAGTACATCACTGGGGCCAAGCTTCCTGCCATCCAGGACCTCTATACCAGGCGGTGTCAGAGGAAGGCCCTCAAAATTGTCAAAGACTCCAGCCACCCTAGTCATAGACTGTTCTGTCTGCTACCACACGGCAAGCGGTACTGGAGTGCCAAGTCTAGGTCCAAAAGACTTCTCAACAGCTTCTACCCCCAAGCCATAAGACTCCTGAACAGCTAATCATGGCTACCCGGACTATTTGCACTGCCCCCCACCCCCACCCCCCACCCCATCTTTTTACGCTGCTGCTACTCTGTTAATTATTTATGCATAGTCACTTTAACTCTACCCACATGTACATATTACTTCAACTACCTCAACTAGCCGGTGCCCCCGCACATTGACTCTGCACCGGTACCCCCCTGTATTTATAGCCTCCCTACTGTTATTTTATTTTACTTCTGCTCTTTTTTTTCTCAACACTTTTTTGTTGTTGTTTTATTTTACTTTTTTTATAAAAAATAAATGCACTGTTGGTTAAGGGCTGTAAGTAAGCATTTCACTGTAATGTCTGCACCTGTTGTATTCGGCGCATGTGGCCAATAAAATTTGATTTGATTTGATTTGACACAGACAAAGACTGGCAGACCGACATACAGACATGTATGTCGGTCTGTATGTCGGTCTGCCAGTCTTTGAGTTATGGGTAGTTATTTATCAGGTTCTCTGACTTGTGTTGTGATGCGTTAGTTATAAAAACTGTAACTGCAAGGTTCTCTGCTTGCATTACTGTCAGTGCAGTGGGGTGAAAAAGCTCTTCCTGACTTGCATCTCTAGGGTTTTGTTGAGCACAAAGCTTTTCAGACTAGCCAGAATGCACGGCTAGAGGGTCACCCCATGGGTCCATTGGGGTGTTGAGCTCAGCTGGCAACATTTCTGGACCCATGAGACTTCACGCATAACAATAAACTAATATCTTCTGACAGTTATGTCTGCTGCTTCCAAACCTGAAAGTGTTGATACTTTAATATATTTTCCACCACAAAAGCCTACTGAAACAGAAACAAAGCATGTAAGTGAATAAGCAGAACTCAACCACTTCAATTCCTTTTCATCTGACCCTGTATGTTCATCTGTCTCCCAGGTCAAAGGGCGTGACCTGTCCCATCTCACCCGCCGAGAGGCATTGCATTTTGTGGGGGGCGGCTATGAGCAGCCAATCACAATGCAGATTGAGGGACAGCACGGGAGAGGGAGAAGACCTCATCACTCCCAGTACCCAATGTCAGACTGCAGCATCCAGACGGAGCGGCCATCATGGGAGGCTCTGAGGGCCCTAGGGGTGGTGGAGGGGGCTGGACACAGCCTTGATGCCTACGCTCCTGGGTACGTGCTGCTTGGTTTGGGCCTCTCTAGCGGTTCTCTGTCTCTTTATCTACTTGTGTAACGGAGGGAAGATTAATAGCGACCTAGTTATATTGAATCGGTGAAATACAGTGATTGAGGCTCTGGGTTTTGTCATTTAGAGCAATTCTTCTCAACTGGTTTTGTCTCGGGATCTACACTACCGGTCAAAGGTTTTAGAACACCTACTCATTCAAGGGTTTTTCTTAATTTTTACTATTTTCTACATTGTAGAATAATAGTGAAGACATCAAAACTATGAAATAACACATATGGAATCATGTAGTAACCAAAAAAGTGTTAAACAAATCAAAATATATTTTATATTTGAGATTATTCAAAGTTGCCACCCTTTGCCTTGATGACAGCTTTGCACACTCTTGGCATTCTCTCAGCCAGCTTCATGAGGTAGTCACCTGGAATGCATTACAATTAACAGGTGTACCTTCTTAAAAGTTAATTTGTGGAATTGCTTTCCTTCTTAATGCGTTTGAGCCAATCAGTTGTGTTGTGACAAGGTAGGGGAGGTATACAGAAGATAACCCTATTTGGTAAAAGACCAAGGCCATATTATGGCAAGAACAGCTCAAATAAGCAAAGAGAAACGACAGTCCATCATTACTTTAAGACATGAAGGTCAGTCAATACGGAACATTTCAAGAACTTTTAAAGTTTCTTCAAGTGCTGTCGCAAAAACCATCAAGCGCTATGATGAAACTGGCTCTCATGAGGACCGCCACAGGAATGGAAGACCCAGAGTTACCTCTGCTGCAGAGGATAAGTTCATTAGAGTTACCAGCCTCAGAAATTGTAGCCCAAATAAATGCTTCACAGAGTTCAAGTAACAGACACATCTCAACATCAATTGTTCAGAGGAGACTGTGTGAAACAGGCCTTCATGTTTGAATTGCTTCAAAGAAACCACCACTAAAGGACACCAATAACAAGATGAGACTTGCTTGGGCCAAGAAACACGAGCAATGGACATTAGACCGGTGGAAATGTGTCCTTTGGTCTGGAGTCCAAATTTGAGATTTTTGGTTCCAACCGCCGTATCTTTGTGAGACGCAGTGTGGGTGAACGGATGATCTCCGCATGTGTATTTCCCAACGTAAATCTTGGAGGAGGAGGTGTTATGGTGAGGGAGTGCTTTGCTGGTAACACTGTCTGTGATTTATTTAGAATTCAAGGCACACTTAACCAGCATGGCTACCACAGCATTCTGGAGTGATATGCCATCCCATCTGGTTTGGGCTTAGTGGGACTCTCATTTGTTTTTCAACAGGACAATGACCCAACACATCTCCAGGCTGTGTAAGGGCTATTTGACCAAGAAGGAGAGTGATGGAGTGCTGCATCAGATGACCTGGCCTCCACAATTGTCACAAACGTCTACTAAGTGAGTGGACCAAGGCGCAGCGTGCGATACGAACATGACTTTATTAAATTAAAGTACTCAATACAAAAACAACAAACAATGACGAATCGTGAAGTCCTCAGTTACAATGACTGATACGGAACAAAAACCCACAACACTAAGGTGAACACTGACATTTTAAATATGGCTCCCAATCAGAGATAACGAGCCGACAGCTGACACTCGTTACCACTGATTGGGAGTCACACGACCAAACAAGGAAACACAACCAAATACAACACAACCAATACCAAACACAACCAAATGAACACACCCTGGCTCAAAATACACAGTCCCGGAGCCAGAGCGTGACAGTACCCCCCCCTAAAGGCGCGGACTCCGACCGCGCCTACACCCCAAATAGGGGAGGGCTGGGTGGGTGTTGCTCCTCGGAGGCGGCTCCGGCTCCGGGCTTGACCACCACCCTACTACAATCCCCCCGTAGTGCCCCCAGTCCGATCTGACCCAGTTAGCTGGATCAGGACTGCCGACGCGCACCCCTGGCTTGGCGCGTGAGGCAGGAATGGACCGGACCTGGCAGACGATACGCACCCTTTGCATGGTGCGTGGAGCCGGAACGGACCTCACCGGACTGACGACTCCATTCCCTGGCTTGGTGCGAGTAGCAGGAACGGGCTGGACCAGGCTGACGACTCGCATCCCTGGTTTGGTGCGAGTAGCAGGAACAGGCTGGACCAGGCTGACGACTCGCACCCCTGGCTTGGTGCGAGTAGCAGGAACGGGTTGGACCAGGCTGGCGACTCGCACCCCTGGTTTGGTGCGAGTGGCAGGGACAGGCCGGGCTGGGCTGTCGACGCACACCACTGACTTGGTGGGAATGGCAGGAACAGGCCGGGCTGGGCTGTCGACGCACACCACTGACTTGGTGGGAATGGCAGGAACAGGCCGGGCTGGGCTGACGACGCGCACCACTGACTTGGTGGGAATGGCAGGAACAGGCCGGACCGGGCTGTCGACGCACACCACAGACTTGGTGGGAATGGCAGGAACAGGCCGGGCTGGGCTGACGACGCGCACCACTGCCTTGGTGGGAATGGCAGGAACAGGCCGGACCGTACTAGGGACACACACCACTGGCCCCACGCAGGGATCAGGAACGGGCCGGACCGGACTGGGAACACACCCCAGTACCTCTCGCCGTGCCTCCACACTTTCCCTCTCCTCTGTGCCCAGTGGCCCCCCTAACCTGGCGGCCTTCTCTGCCAATGCTTTGCACCGCTCTAACCCGTACACCTGCTGCCCCGACGTCGTGAGCCCCCCCCTAAAAATTTCCTGGGGGTCTCTCCTCCCCGTGGCCCAGGCCTCTCTCCCTCTTGCCAGACTCGCAATCATCTCCTCCCACGTCCATCCTCTCTCCTCGTCACGCTGCTTGATCCAGTCGAGGTTGCCACGGAGATCTGCCAGTGATGGCTCCTGAACACGCTGCTTGGTCTGGTTCAGGTGGGTTTTTCTGTCACGAACGTCTACTAAGTGAGTGGACCAAGGCGCAGCGTGCGATACGAACATTACTTTATTAAATTAAAGTACTCAATACAAAAACAACAAACAATGACGAATCGTGAAGTCCTCAGTTACAATGACTGATACGGAACAAAAACCCACAACACTAAGGTGAACACTGACATTTTAAATATGGCTCCCAATCAGAGATAACGAGCCGACAGCTGACACTCGTTACCACTGATTGGGAGTCACACGACCAAACAAGGAAACACAACCAAATACAACACAACCAATACCAAACACAACCAAATGAACACACCCTGGCTCAAAATACACAGTCCCGGAGCCAGAGCGTGACAACAATCCCCTGACCTCAACCAAATTGAGATGGCTTGGGATGAGTCGGACCGCACAGTGAAGGAAAAGCAGCCAACAAATACTTAGCATATGTGGGAACTCCTTCAAGACTGTTGGAAAAGCATTCCAGGTGAAGCTGGTTGAGAGAATGCCAAGAGTGTGCAAAGCTGTCATCAAGGCAAAGGGTGACTAATAGGGGCGGCAGGTAGCTTAGTGGGTAAGAGCGTTGTGCCAGTAACCGAAAGGTCGCTGGTTCTAATCCCCGAGCCGACTAGGTGAAAAATCTGTCGATGTGCCCTTGAGCAAGGCACTTAACCCTAATTGCTCCTGTAAGTCGCTCTGGATAAGAGCGTCTGCTAAATGACCAAAAATAAAAATAAAAATAAATATTTGAAGATTCTCAAATATAAAATGTATTTTGATTTGTTTAACACTTTTTTGGTTGCTACATGATTCCATATGTGTTATTTCATAGTTGTGATGTTTTAAATATTAAAAATAAAATAAAAACTTGAATGAGTAGGTGTTCTAAAACTTTGGACCGGTAGTGTAAATTGAACCAGGTTGTCTCAGTCGCGACCTAATCAGGGGCGGACTGGGACCAGAAATCGACTCTGGCATTTCTAACACACCGGACCATTTTTTTCCTTGAGGCCCCCATTATTAGCCAGATAATTATCATTTTGCTGAAGAAAACCCAAGTTAGACAGGCCCAATAGAATAGAAATGGACCAGCCCCTCTGGCATTTACCCGATTTGCTAGATGGCCAGTTCATTATAACATGTTTTATGTTTATTATAATTTCTACAGACATTCTACCTGGTTTAAGTTCAGACTGTAGTCTTTTTTCATAATTTTTTTTTATAATTAACATACAATATATATACTGAACAAAAATATAAACACAACATGCAACAATTTCAAAGATTTTGCTGAGTTACAGTTCATATAAGGAAATCAGTCAATAAATTCATTAGGCCCTAATCTCTGCATTTCACAAGACTGGGAAGGGCCCCAGGCCCAGCCACTTGGGAGCATGGACCAGGCAATCAGAATGAGTTGTTCCCTAGAAAAGGGCTTTACTAAAGACAGAAATAATCATCAGCACCCCGCCCCCCTCTCTGACAATCCCGTAGGTGAAGAAGCCGGATGTGGAGGTCCTGGGCTGGTGTGGTTATACGTGGTCTGCGTTTGTGAGGCCGGTTGGACGTACTGCCAAATTCTCTAAAACGATGTTGGAGGCAGCTTATGGTAGAGAAATTAACATTTAATTTCTCGAGAAAAAGCTCTGGTGGACATTCCTGCAGTTCGCATGCCATTTGCACGCTCCCTCAAAACTTGAGGCATCTGTGGCATTGTGTTGCGTGACAAAACGGCACATTTTAGAGTGGCCTTTTATTGCCCCCAGCACAAGGTGCACCTTTGTAATGATCATGCTGTTTAATCAGCTTCTTGATATGCCACACCTGTCAGGTGGATGGATTATCTTGACAAAATATAAAATGCTCACTAACAAGGATGTAAACAACATTTGAGAGAAATAAGCTTTTTGTGCATATGGAAGATTTCTGGGATCTTTTATTTCAGCTCATGAAACATGGGACAAGCACTTTTAAATGTTGTGCTATATTTTTGTTCAGTGTATATATATGTATACACCTGCGACCCGCAACCCATATATATATATACAGTTGAAGTCGGAAGTTTACATACACTTAGGTTGGAGTCATTAAAACTCGTTTTTCAACCACTCCACAGATTTCTTGTTAACAAACTATAGTTTTGGCAAGTCGGTTAGGACATCTACTTTGCATGATACAAGTAATTTTTCCAACAATTGTTTACAGACAGATTATTTCATTTATAATTCACTGTATCACAATTCCAGTGGGTCAGAAGTTTACATACACTAAATTGACTGTGCCTTTAAACAGCTTGGAAAATTCCAGAAAATGATGTCATGGCTTTAGAAGCTTCTGATAGGCTAATTGACATCATTTGAGTCAATTGGAGGTGTACCTGTGGATGTATTTCAAGGCCTACCTTCAAACTCAGTGCCTCTTTGCTTGACATAATGGGAAAATCAAAAGAAATCAGCCAAGACCTCCGAAAAAACATTGTAGACCTCCACAAGTCTGGTTCATCCTTGGGAGCATTTTCCAAACACCTGAAGGTACCATGTTCATCTGTACAAACAATAGTACGCAAGTATAAACACCATGGGACCACGCAGCCGTCATACCGCTCAGGAAGGAGACACGTACTGCGAAAAGTGCAAATCAATCCCAGAACAACAGCAAAGGACCTTGTGAAGATGCTGGAGGAAACAGGTACAAAAGTATCTATATCCACAGTAAAACTAATCCTATATCGACATAACCTGAAAGGCCGCTCAGCAAGGAAGAAGCCACTGCTCCAAAACTGCCATAAAAAAGCCAGACTACGGTTTGCAACTGCACATGGGAACAAAGATCGTACTTTTTGGAGAAATGTCCTCTGGTCTGATGAAACAAAAATATAACTGTTTGGCCATAATGGCCATCGTTATGTTTGGAGGAAAAAACCGTGAAACACAGGGGTGGCAGCATCATGCTGTGGGGGTGCTTTGCTGCAGGAGGGACTGGTGCACTTCACAAAATTGATGGCATCATGAGGAAGGAAAATTATGTGGAAATATTGAAGCAACATCTCAAGACATCAGTCAGGAAGTTAAAGCTTGGTCGCAAATGGGTCTTCCAAATGAACAATGACCCCAAGCATACTTCCAAAGTTGTGGCAAAATGGCTTAAGGACAACAAAGTCAAGGTATTGGAGTGGCCATCACAAAGCCCTGACCTCAATCGTATAGAAAATGTGTGGACAGAACTGAAAAAGCGTGTGCGAGCAAGGAGGCCTACATATCTGACTCAGTTACACCAGCTCTGTCAGGAGGAATGGGCCAAAATTCACCCAACTTATTGCGGGAAGCTTGTGGAAGGCTACCCAAAACATTTGACCCAAGTTGAACAATTTAAAGGCAATGCTACCAAATACTAATTGAGTGTATGTAAACTTCTGACCCACTGGAAATATGATGAAAGAAATAAAAGCTGAAATAAATCATTCTCTCTACTATTATTCTGACATTTCACATTCTTAAAATGAAGTGGTGATCCTAACTGATCTAAGACAGGGAATTTTTACTAGGATTAAATGTCAGGAATTGTGAAAAACTGAGTTTAAATGTATTTGGCTAAGGTGTATGTAAACTTCCGACTTCAACTGTATATGCACCAGCGACCTATTCAAAACCTCCTGCGACCAAAGTTTGGGTCACGACACACCAGTTGAGAATCGCTGATTTAGAGTATAGCCGTGAGATGTATCATACAGAAGTGGTATTAGAATTGAATGGAACCACTGACTGGAAGTGATCTAATGTGTAAACACAGTAATTACCGCTTGAAGTGCCTATGGTGTGAAAGTCATGTTGTCATATGTGATGACCTCATTCTCCCCAGACCTTACTACTATGACATGACCCTCCCACCAGAACTGAACGCAGCCAATGGATACCTCTCCAGTGTTGCCTACAATCTGGAGGACCTTAGCAGGATAGAGTATGATGATGTGAGTCATTCTATATGCTTTCATATTAGTATAGCCTAGCTTTTGTACATGGTTGATTTGATTTGATTTGTCAGTTAAAAAAATACATATATACCCAGTACATACATTTTTAAAACATGGGACCAGGATTGCACAATAAAGTCAGAGACTTATTTTCATTGTGGTCCCTGACATCTACAGTATCTAAGACTTGTGGTCCCTGATATCTACAGTATCTAAGACTTTTGGTCCCTGACATCTACAGTATCTAAGACTTGTGGTCCCTGACATCTACAGTATCTAAGACTTGTGGTCCCTGATATCTATCAAAAATGTGGTCCCTGATATACAGAGGCAAGAAAAAGTATGTGAACCCTTTAGAAATACCTGGATTTCTGCATAAATTGTTCATAATATTTTATCTGATCTTCATCTAAGTCACAACAATGGACAAACACAGTCTGCTTAAACTAATAACACACAAACAATTATACGTTTTCATGTCTTTATTGAACACCGTGTAAACATTCACAGTTTAGGGTGGGAAAAGTATGTGAACCCTTAGATTTAATAACTGGTTGACCCTCCTTTGGCAGCAATAACCTCAACCAAACCTTTTCTGTAGTTGCGGATCAGACCTGCACAACGGTCCAGAGGAATTTTGGACCATTCCTCTTTACAAAACTGTTTCAGTTCAGCAATATTCTTGGGATGTCTGGTGTGAACCGCTCTCTTGAGGTCATACCACAGCATCTCAATCGGGTTGAGGTCAGGACTCTGACTGGGCCGCTCCAGAAGGCGTATTTTCTTCTGTTGAAGCCATTCTGTTGTTGATGAACTTCTGTGTTTTGGGTCGTTGTCCTGTTGCATCACCCAACTTCTGTTGAGTTTCAATTGGTGGACAGATAGCCTTACATTCTCCTGCAAAATGTCTTGATAAACTTGGAAATTCATTTTTCCGTCGATGATAGCAAGCTGTCTAGGACCTGAGGCAGCCCCAAACCATGATAATCCCTCCACCATAATTTACAGTTTGGATGAGGTTTTGATGTTGGTGTGCTGTGCTTTTTTTTTCTCCACACACAGTGTTGTGTGGCCAGTTTCATCACAGCTCTTGATGGTTTTTGCGACTGCACTTGAAGAAACTTTCAAAGTTCTTGAAATGTTCCGTATTGACTGACCGTCATGTCTTAAAGAAAGGATAGTCTGTCGTTTCTCTTTGCTTATTTGAGCTGTTCTTGCCATAATATGGACTTGGTATTTTACCAAATAGGGCTATCTTCTGTGTACCACACCTGCCTTTTCACAACACAGCTGATTGGCTCAAATGCATTAAGAAGGAAAGAAATTCCACAAATTAACTTTTAACAAGGCACACCACACTTTTTTGGTTACTACATGATTCCATATGTGTTATTTCATAGTTTTGATGTCTTCACTATTATTCTAAAATGTAGAAAATAGTAAAAATAAAGAAAAACTCTGGAATGAGTGTGTCCACAGTTTTGACTGGTACTGTATATCTAAGACTTGTGGTCCCTGATATCTACCTAATACTTCTGGTCTCTGATATCTACCCAATACTTTTGGTCCCTGATATCAACCTTGTGACTTCTGGTCCCTTATATCTAAGACTTGTGGTCCCTGATATTGATATAAGACTTGTGGTCCCTGATATCTAAGACTTGTGGTCCCTGATATATATCTAAGACTTGTGGTCCTTGATATATATCTAAGACTTGTGGTCCCTGAAATATATCTAAGACTTGTGGTCCCTGATATATATCTAAGACTTGTGGTCCTTGATATCTATCTAAGACCTGTGGTCCCTGATATCTAATTATTGTGGACCCTGATATCTAAGCCTTGTGGTCCCTGATATCTAAGACTTGTGGTCCCTGATATCTACCTAACACTTGTGATCCCTGATATCTACAGTGGGGGAAAAAAAGTATTTAGTCAGCCACCAATTGTGCAAGTTCTCCCACTTAAAAATATGAGAGAGGCCTGTAATTTTCATCATAGGTACACGTCAACTATGACAGACAAACGGAGGAAAAAATTCCAGAATATCACATTGTAGGATTTTTTATGAATTTATTTGCAAATTATGGTGGAAAATAAGTATTTGGTCACCTACAAACAAGCAAGATTTTTGGCTCTCACAGACCTGTAACTTCTTCTTTAAGAGGCTCCTCTGTCCTCCACTCGTTACCTGTATTAATGGCACCTGTTTGAACTTGTTATCAGTATAAAAGACACCTGTCCACAACCTCAAACAGTCACACTCCAAACTCCACTATGGCCAAGACCAAAGAGCTGTCAAAGGACACCAGAAACAAAATTGTAGACCTGCACCAGGCTGGGAAGACTGAATCTGCAATAGGTAAGCAGCTTGGTTTGAAGAAATCAACTGTGGGAGCAATTATTAGGAAATGGAAGACATAAAAGACCACTGATAATCTCCCTCGATCTGGGGCTCCACGCAAGATCTCACCCCGTGGGGTCAAAATGATCACAAGAACGGTGAGCAAAAATCCCAGAACCACACGGGGGGACCTAGTGAATGACCTGCAGAGAGCTGGGAACAAAGTAACAAAGCCCACCATCAGTAACACACTACGCCGCCAGGGACTCAAATCCTGCAGTGCCAGACGTGTCCCCCTGATATATATCTAAGACTTGTGGTCCCTGATATGTATCTAAGACTTGTAGTCCCTGTATCTATATAAGACTTGTGGCCCTGATATCTACCTAAGACTTGTGGTCCCTGATAGTAATCTAAGACTTGTGGTCCATGATGTCTAAGACTTGTTGTCCCTGGTATCTACGACTTGTGGTCCATGATATCTACCTAAGACTTGTGGTCCCTGATATTGATCTAAGACCTGTGGTCCCTGATATGTAAGAGTTGTGGTCCCTGATATCTAAGACCTTTGGACCATCATATTGATATAATACTTGTGGTCCCTGATATCTAAGACTTGTGGTCACTGATACCTACCTACAACTTGTGGTCCCTGATATCTAATTCTTGTGGACCCTGATATCTATGCATCGTGGTCCCTGATATCTAAGACTTGTGGTCCCTGATATCTAAGACTTGTGTTCCCTGATATCTAAAACCTGTGGTCCCTGATATCAACCTAATACTTGTGGACCCTGATATTGATATAAGACTTGTGGTCCCTGATATGTAAGACTTGTGGTCCCTGATATCTAAAACGTGTGGTCCCTGATATCAACCTAAGACTTGTGGACCCTGATATTGATATAAGACTTGTGGCCCCTGATATCTAAGACTTGTGGTCCCTGATATCTATATAAGACTTGTGGTCCCTGATATATATCTAAGACATGTGGTCCCTGATATATATCTAAGACATGTGGTCCCTGATATGTATCTAAGACTTGTGGTCCCTGATATCAACCTTTTGACTTGTGGTCCCTTATATCTAAGACTTGTGGACCCTGATATTGATATAAGACTTGTGGTCCCTGATATCTAAGACTTGTGGTCCCTGATATCTATCTAAGACTTGTGGTCCATGATATCAATCTACTACTTATGATCCCTGATATCTAATTATTGTGGACCCTGATATCTAAGCCTTGTGGTCCCTGATATCTAAGACTTGTGGTCCCTGATATCTAAGACTTGTGGTCCCTGAAATATATCTACGACCTGTGGTCCCTGATATGTAAGAGTTGTGGTTCCTGATATCTAAGACCTTTGGCCATGATATTGATATAAGACTTGTGGTCACTGATATCTATCTAAGACGTGTGGTCCCTGATACCTACCTACAACTTTTGGTCCCTGATATCTAATTATTGTGGACCCTGATATCTATGCCTCGTGGTCCCTGATATCCAAGACTTGTGGTCCCTGATACCAAACCTTTTTTGATATACTAAGAGGACCGCTATTAGCATGTTTTAAACACTCCTATGTAAATGGTAGATTATCTGACACTCAAGAAGAAGGTCTGATCTCATTATTACTGAAACAGGATACAAGTGGAAAAAATTGGAGGCCCCTTACACTTCAGTGTTGTGATGCAAAAATTCTAGCAAAATGTATAGTGCATAGGATTAAAGGGGTGTTATCTAAGACTTGTGGCCCCTGATATCTAATACTTGTGGCCCCTGATCTAATCCACTCCTTATGTTCACCTACCTATACTGTTTTAGGATCCAGAGATGATCAATAACCAGCCCAATAATAGGCGCTGTCTGATTGGCTGCTGTAACACTGATAACAATGAGCCTAGCAGCTTCCTGAGCCAGGTACTGTAAGAATTAACAAGATAGACAAATTATTTATGTTTGAACACATGGTCTAAGACATTCAACAAGCTATAAAAAAAACAATTATAGTCATATACACTTATGTCCTAAAATGAACACCAACAACAACCTATGGTATTCATTGTGTCTTCCATCCTCTCTATTTCAGAGTGAGTATGAGGGCCACTGGCTGGACAGGCCTCTGGGCTACCTGCCACTGCACGAGCTTGACAGTGGCCTGGGCTGCACCGATGGCAGCCTCCACCAGGGGGACCTGTCTACCCCAGAGACAGAGGAGTGGGTAGAGGCCCCTATGTCCTCCCCACCAGGACACACCAGCCGGGGCAGCTCTCCCTCCTCTGAGTCCCTCATCTCCTCAGAGCTCAGTGACTCTGGCTTCCACAGCGTCAGCACAGGAGAGTTCCGCCACTTCCAGAAGATTATAGACGGGAGGATCCACAACTACCGGAGCCGCGTGGTCCCGCGGGAACAGAGATCAAAGTCTCGCTGGGACCTGGAGTCCATCCCTGAGTCCCTGACCTGTGACCCCCAGGCTGGCAGGGCCCCAGACGGAGCTCACACTTTCATGAGCCACCAGTGCACCATGGGTGGTAGCTCCATTCAGGACCGCAAAGCCATGAGCCCCCAGCCGAGCAGGCATGACACCAGGTCTGCTCCTAGGGTTGCTGCCTCCAGCTGCCGTACAGAGCCCTGCCAGAGGAGATCACTGATGCTGAACCAGCACTCCTCCGAGGACCTCCCCAGCCGCAGCCACACCGTGCATGACTTATCAGACAGGAGACGGGCCAGTCACCCTGGCCTGCCTGCTGGGAACAATGCCACAGGGAAATACAGACACGTAGACAGACAACCGCCCAGCAGCCCAAACCACCTAGCCGTGCCCACTGAGAACTCTGGCACAGGACAATACAACAGGGGGTTCAACACAGACATCAGTGAGAAGAGGAGGAGGCCTCAGAGCAGCCATGTGGAAGGCCCCTGGCAAGGAGTATATGTGGGGGACAACAGAGGCAGTATGGCCAGTGAGGAATATATCAGTGAGAAACAGGGTCTTTCCAAGAGTCCCTCAAGGAAACGGCCTGGGAAGCAGCCAGCAGACTGGCGTCAGTTTGCAACACTGGGACATCCTCACATTGGTGGGGACTGGCCCCAAGCAGACGGCCCCTGCAGCCCCCTCTACAGCACGCTGGATGGGCCCTCTGCCCGCTCCAGGAGGGGTCTCTCTGGGAACCCCAGGGCAGTGAGGAACCAGCTCCTGAAGGCCAGGGCCTCCCGGCTGGCTGACGAGCGCAGTGAGGTCACCACTGACGAGGAGGCCCGTGGAGAGGCCTGGGCAGGCCGCTACTGGAGTAGGACAGAGCGCCGGCGCCACCTGGCGTTGGCCCGGGAGCAGAGGCAGAGGAAGCTGAGCCGTTGTGGGCCTGAGGGGGCAGCAGAGGGCAGGGCTGGAGCAACAGGGGGTGCAGGGGGGCCAGGGGGTGCAGGGGGGCCAGGGGGTGCAGAGGGCCCTGGAGGAGGCTGCAGCACAGTACTGGAGCTCAGCCACAGGAAGCAGAGCATTCTGAGGAACCATAAACTGCTGGATGACTGGACCACAGTGGAGGAACTGCTGACCCATGGAACCCGGGTGGGGGAGGGGGACAACATCCTCTGTCGCAGCCCGCTGCTGTCGGTCACTACAGTATAATGACACAGTGAGATAAGGTGTGTAGGTGTGTGTGTGTGTGTGTGTTATTTGTATGAGTGATTGTGAAGACGTTCAGTGATATGACTCCAGTTTGACTACCTCTTGTTCTCCACTCATGTTCCTGGACACAAACCTAGAGCAGTAGTTGTCTAATGGTCTGGACCAATGGCATTACGAAACAACCTAGAGCAGTAGTTGTCTAATGGTCTGGACCAATGGCATTACGAAACAACCTAGAGCAGTAGTTGTCTAATGGTCTGGACCAATGGCAGTACGAAACAACCTAGAGCAGTAGTTGTCTAATGGTCTGGACCAATGGCAGTACGAAACAACCTAGAGCAGTAGTTGTCTAATGGTCTGGACCAATGGCAGTAAGAAACAACCTAGACCAGTAGTTGTCTAATGGTCTGGACCAATGGCAGTATGAAACAACCCAAATGATAGTATTCACTGGTCCCTCTAAAGCTAGCTGAATGGGTTTTGGGTTAGCTACGGCATGAAAGATATAGCTGTGTTTTGATGGCCTAAAAGGGTTCTTCGGCTGTCCCCATGGAGAACCCTTTGAATAACCATTTTTGGTTCCAGGTAGAACCCCTTTGGTTCCAGTTAGAATACTTTTGAGTTCCATGTAGAACCCTTTCCACAGACGGTTCTACCTGGAACCCAAAATAGTTCTACCTGGAACCAAAAAGGTTGTCCTATGGGGACAGCCGAAGAACCCTTTTGGAAACCTTTTTTCTAAGAGTGTGGTGACTAATTTTATCAATAAACACTTTTTACAATTAAATGCAATCTCATAAGTTGTTTTGCCCAAAGAGTGGATATCACCATATCAGTGTAGTTCAACAAAGGATGTCATTTATTGGAAATAATTAAATATCATTGCATCACATTTGGCTACAGAATGTAGCTCAACATGACCTCGTTTTAAAACCACAGAGTTGTAGTGATACAGAAACCACATAGTTGCAGTGATACAGACACTTTATATTGTATATGAAAACTCAGGTAGTAAATGATGTGTTGTTTATCTACAGCACAGGGACAAGAGCTCCATCCTGCTCAGATGAGAAATGCACTTTGAACTTGGCTCTTTCAAGATGCATAATAGATCTGTGAGTTTGTAAACTACTATTAGTAGGTGTGTGTATTTGGTTGAATGTTCTTTAGGAAACAGAATTTTAGAGAGCCTATCAGAGACCATCAAGTTGGGACCATGGCCCATGATAATCACTAAAGTGTATCTACTATCATGTGTGACGGGATATTCACCTGATGAAAAGTGATTACATTTTCAGCAAGTTTTTTGCTAAATCAAAGTGTGGTCATGAAACATTCTGTTCTATTTTCACCTCTTTTTTACAGCCTGTAATGACAGACAGAGTACCTTTATTCCCAGCATGTGGACATTGCAGCACTATTTCCTATGCGTCACAAATTATGTCACCTTTCTAACTGGGCTTGGAGTCACAGGGTTGATTTTACCCTGACACCACTGTTTGTCAGACATTTGTGAACACTAAGTAATGTATCAAGTCAAGTAACATTTTATTTACAGTGCATTTTACATGCCTCAACACACTTTACAAGAAAATAAAAAAATTTAAACATAAAAAAACGAGACATGTCAAAACATTCACTTGTGCTTTCGTTTTTCCTGATGATGACACCTTCACGTTGTGGTGCAGTCAGAGCACCTCTGATTATTGTTGCATAACATGAAACAAAATGTCTCACTCTTTTCACATAAAACCGATTGAAAGTTGTTCATTTACAGACACAAAATATGATCAAATCGTGTGAACAATCATCAAACAGTATCAAATACATGTTCCAGCCTTGAATTGAATCTCCTGATGGTTTCCATTTGTCACAGTGGATAATCCCTACTGATACGGATAAGTGGATAATCCCTACTGATACGGTAAATGGATAATCCCTACTGATACGGATAAGTGGATAATCCCTACTGATACGGATAAGTGGATAATCCCTACTGATACGGATAAGTGGATAATCCCTACTGATACGGATAAGTGGATAATCCCTACTGATACGGATAAGTGGATAATCCCTACTGATACGGATAAGTGGATAATCCCTACTGATACGGATAAGTGGATAATCCCTACTGATACGGTAAGTGGATAATCCCTACTGATACGGATAAGTGGATAATCCCTACTGATACGGATAGGTGGATAATCCCTACTGATACGGATAAATGGATAATCCCTACTGATACGGTAAGTGGATAATCCCTACTGATACGGATAAGTGGATAATCCCTACTGATACGGATAAGCCCTTCTCAAAGAGAAATCTACAGATGTGATGGACACATAACATGGTTGTTATTATGAATAATACATTTTGATTGCTCTAATAAAAAATTCTAAAATTCATAACATTTCCTGATTTATTTTCATTCTTAACAACATCCCTTTTTCCTGAATCCTAATTTTACTCTGCCACCAACACAATGACAGTCTCCTCCTCACTATAAACGGTCAAAGGGCCCTGGATTTCAAATGCCACATGTTGACAAGAATAATCAATTAATACTCTTCAGTGTCTTCACCCCCAATTATTTGTGTGTCCCTTCGGGAAATGACATTTATACTCACATTTATACTCTGAAGTGATTTTGTATTCATTGAAGAGGGACAAAGTCCATTTCTGAAGTCATTGTTTAGTCAATTTTATAGAATGAGAGTTAAAGCTATGGCCTACTCCCTTGATCCAAACATAGCCTACATGAGTCACCTCCCCTTCACTTTATTGAGGGATGTCATGGAGCAGCCTGCAACACACATTTGCACCAGTAGGTGGTAGACAGACACAACTCTTTTTTTATTAAACACAGTTCACCCTTTTCATACAAAGTCTTAAGTAAATACTAAGTCAAATGAATGTCACCACAAATTGAATATGTTTTGTTGTTGTGTGTAAAAATAGTAATACTTTATTTGGAAAGTCCATCTGTAGATGCTCTACTGACTATCTACAGACCATCAGTAACATTTCAACTATCTATCTACTAACCCTAGCTCTAGCCCTAACCTTAACCCTTATCCTAAACATAAACCTAACCCTAACCCTAACCTTAGTCCTGCAGAGTTGCGGTTGATAGTTTGAGCATCTACAGACCATCGATAGAGGCTTTATCCAAATAAACTATCCCAAAGTATGACCCTGGATTAGATGATAAATCAAATGCAATTAATACATCAATTGTTTTTACACTTAATTTGGATAGTCCGGATCTCCCATCTGTAGATGCTCTATAGATGTTCATGCTATCAACAAACCTATCTGTTGATAAGCAACTGCTTGCTATCGGTAGGTCTGAGGTTAGGGTTAGATATAACGCAAGATTAGGGTTAGGGCTGTGGTTAGGCTTAGGGCTGTGGTTAGGGTTAGGTTGTGGTTAGGGTTAGGGCTGTGGTTAGGGTTAGGGCTGTGGTTAGGGTTAGGGCTGTGGTTAGGGTTAGGGTTGTGGTTAGGGTTAGGGCTGGGGTTAGGGTTAGGGCTGTGGTTAGGGTTAGGGCTGTGGTTAGGGTTAGGGCTGTGGTTAGGGTTAGGGCTGTGGTTAGGCTTAGGGCTGTGGTTAGGCTTAGGGCTGTGGTTATGGTTAGGGCTGTGGTTAGGCTTAGGGCTGTGGTTAGGCGTTAGGGCTGTGGTTTAGGGTTAGGGCTGTGGGTAGGTTAGGGTGTGGTTAGGTAGGGCGTGTAGTAGTTGTAGCTAGCGTGGTGTGGGCTGTGGTTAGGGTAGTGTGGTAGGTTAGGTGTGTAGTAGCTGTGTTAGTTGAGTTGAGTTTAGAGGGTTGGGTAGGCGATGGTAGGTGTTGTGATAGCTAGTGTAGTTAGTGTGTAGTCAGCGTTTAGTTATTGTTAGGTAGTGCTTAGTTAGCTTGTTAGTTGGGTTTGGTAGATCAGGGTGCTTCGTAGTAGTTTGTAGGTGGATCGAGGTGTGTATACGCTTAGGCAGATGAGTTTGGTGTAATTCAAGTTTACATTAGTATTAGAAGTAGTGGTACATAAATAGTGGTACAGATGTAGAGTCAAGAGAAATACTGAGTAGTGATTAGTAGAGCGAGAGAATATGAGAAGGCAGTAATAGTAGAGTAGTAGTAGTATTATGCAGTAGTGTTAGTAAGTATAGTTAGACAGTGTAGCGTATAAGATGTAGTAGCTATAGAGCGCAGTAGTAGTATTGTAGTAGAGCAATAGTAGTAGCAGTAAGTAGTAGTAGTAGTCAGTAGTAGTAGTAGAGTAGTAGTAGTGGTAGTAGTAGAGTTAGTAGCAGTAGTAGTAGTAGTGTAGTATAGTGTAGTAGCACAGTGAGCAGTAGTAGTTAGCAGTAGTAGTAGCAGTAGTAGTAAGTAGCAGCATAGTAGTAGTAGATAGTGTAGTCAGTAGTAGTAGCTAGTAGTAGTAGCTATAGTAGTATAGTAGTAGTACAGCAGCAGTAGTAGAGTGTTAGTAGTGATATAGTAGTCAGTAGTAGTAGGTAGTATAGTTAGTAGTAGTAGAGTAGTAGTAGTAGTGTAGTAGCGAGCTAGTTAGGTAGTAGTAGTAGTAGTCAGTGTAGTAGTAGTCAGTATGCTAGCCAGTAGTAGTAGCAAGTAGTAGTAGTAGTAGTAGTGATAGTATAGTAGTAGTAGCAGCAGTAGTAGTAGTAGTAGTAGATAGAGTAGTAGTAGTAGTAGTAGAGAGTAGTAGTAGCAGTATATAGAAGTAGTAGAGTTAGGCAAGTAGTAGTAGTAAAGTAGTATAGTAGTAGTATAAGTAGTTAGTTAGTAGTAGTGTCAGAAGTAGCAGTAGTAGGTAGTCAGTAGTAGCAGTAGTAGTAGTAGTATAGTAGTTAGTCAGCAGTAAGAAGTAGTAGTAGTGCAGTAGTAGTAGTAGTAGCACGTAGTAGTAGTATAGTAGTAGAGTATAGTAGTATGTAGTAGCAGAATTAGTAGTAGTAGTAAGTCAGTAGTACGTAGAGCGCAT